GAGATAACACAACCACAGGGCTGACTTGATATCTTTGGTGGCCCAATTTAAATATGGTGCTGAGTATGAAGGATAAGTCTGATGCTCTGTGGCTTCAAAACCTCTTTCAGCAAGGCTTTACATTCTGAAATCCAGTTTATTATCATGGCCTTAAAATTATTGTTCTGCTGGCTTTTAATAATTCATCTGCGAGGAAAACTAAGACTAAAGCATTGCAACCACACATTTCGTCTCACTTCACATATTTACAACTCAGCCCTACCTTTGGCAGTAAATATCACTGATTCTTCTAGAACATACTTCTAAATAAGTGTGCTTAGATGTATGCATTAAAGTTTAAGTTCAGTCACTTGGATTAAACCCTTTTAATTTTGGCTGATGGTTTAGAGTATAATTCTCACCATTTCCACTGAAGTAACTGGAGATGATGGAAGCCAGAGTCCAAAATACTTAGATGGCATTTGTTAGAGGAAGGCTGTGCTAACCATAGATTAATTTACTGGAATGAGGCTGCTTATATTTGGGCATGAAGACACTTCCCATCCCCAGTGTACTTTTTTATTATGTTACCAAAGGATCACTTATGCTTAATTTAAACTAGGATAGTCACCTGCAGCCACAAAGCTATTTTTCATGGCCCCTTGAGTTGTCCTAACTAGATGCCTAAATTTGGACAATACAATTGCTAAAAAAAAGTGTTCTGGTTTCCTGCTGCTTATGCACTGATAGCATAAGCTATAAAGTAAGTTTCACATAATTATCAAATTTTTTTTAAAAAAAAGATTCCTCCAAAAAGAACAAAGAACATCCCTGTTCTGTCCTTATACATTTGTGGTCCTACTCACTCTGCATCATCTTAGTGGTTTCAAAGCAATGCCCATCCTTCATTTAAATTGTGGGTGGCCAAAATAAGCCTGGATTGAAATCACAGTTTGATCCTGGTTTGTGGCAACTATCCATAATTTAAAACTATCAATAATTTGCACTTTTCAGATGCACAGATGTACAGTAATGACAAACCAGGGTGTCTTGTAAGTAAAAAGCTGTGATCTCATCAGTATGCCAGAAGAAAAGAGAACACAGCATAAAAGCCAAGGCTCATTACTGTCTATTATGTACATGAGATGTGATCATATTAACTATATTTAATTTTAATTAAACTAATGCAAATTTAGTTGTCCTCATCCTCATCCATTTATTTCTTTGTTCTAACCCTGCCCACTGTTTTGGAAGGCTGGTCCTAGCATACCAACTCAAGGGGCAAGCATATTTTTTGACCTGAAAAACATTTGTGCACCCCAATTTAAAGTATGGCATAAGTGTTATGTTTGCTTGTTACATTCACACCAATCTTTTCCTCTAGGAATTCAAGGCAACAGCTTCGTTCTCCAATTTAATTCCCTCTGCAACCGCCCTGTTGAGATTCACAACTGGCCCAAAATCATCCAGGGACCTTCTATACCAAATCCCACCATTATATAATTGAGGTGATACTAAATACTTTTCATCTTCCCATTTTTGTAATTGCCTCAAGACTAAGATTAACTTCGTATTTGAAAGTAAATCCCTTTGAGAGTACTGGAACATTATCCTGTCTTTAGAGTTGAACCCAGGAAAACTTTCTTCTGAGTACACGTTCATAAGAAGGCAGTGTGTGTGTGTGTGTGTGTATGAATAGGGCTATTTGTCCTATTATTAAAAGTAATTAAATTGTCAACTCAGGTTCCATCAGAGAAATTGAATCCAAAGACTTATGTAAGCAAGGTTATGGATTTTGTGAAGAGCCACACAGAGCACAGAATGGCTCTTCCAGACCACTGAACAATTTATCTAGAGACCTTCTGATTTCTATGGTTCCAACAGTGACTCCACTTTCAACATATCTTGAACGTCATGAGAGCTAGAACTTTACCTTTAAATATCATAAAATCTGAAATTCATAGGAAACTGGATTCTACTTCTAAAGTTGGGTTCTATTCTTTTTAAGTGCTTCTGCAGAATCAGAGCACATGTGTTAGATATAAACTTGTCTTAAGACTGGTAAAAAAACTAAGATTTCAGAAAGCAAGATTAATGGGAAGACCAATGACAGCTTAAATATGCCTTCAAATCATATATAAGATTAGAAGAATACAACTAAGTGAATATTGTGTTTTTGTCTAGTAACCAAAAATTGGCTCAACAGTTAATTCCCTGCAATATACATAAAAACATTTCAATTTCACCATTTGAAGGCATTATATATAAAAATTGAGAGAGCACATTAAAAAATTCACAGTGGGAAGTATGGATCATAACAATAACAGAAAATGAGTTGTTTACCAAAAGAGTTGAGTGCAGCTTTTCACCTGTATAGCTATCAATACAGAGGTGAGTGAGGCTATCAGTATCTTTGTGTCAACTGAAACTATCCTTTCCAATCAATCCCTGCCTATTTAAAAACATTATTTGCTTTTTAAACCAGCAAATAAAGCAAACTCTTAAACAAAATTTACATGTTTTTGTGAGATTCTTCACTGAATTCCAGTAGGAGTTACAAATGTTACTGCAGTATTTATAGACAGACTAAAATGCGTGCTCTCTCTTTGTATATATAGTAAGGTGATCTAAAAATATACAGATTCTATTTAACACCTAGTACACATTCATTTACTGTCTCAAATGGAATAAACTAAATTGATTCTGCTTTCTTCTACTCATGACATCTTAAGAAGTAGTAAGACAGAATTAGGAAGAACAGAGTGGCATACCAATATTGTCCTGCTTTTCCTCTTATTTCTTCCCTCGGATTACATAGGAGTAAAATACACAGGAGTTCTTCTCTTGCAAAACCAATAATCTCAGAAGAAGAGCCAAGAATATGTGTATATTTCTAAAGTTTACAGTCTAAGGCTATTGTAATCAGTAGAATAAACAACCACAACTTAAATGATAGAAGTGGTTGTGTTGAAATATTTAAAATTGCCAGATAAGAAACAAAGTGTATTTTAAAAGTAGGATCTGTGGCATCAAGAAGTTTGTGCTAGTTAATATTTGCAAACAGGCAATACTTAGGAAAAGACCATTTGGCACCGTACATTGAGTAAAAATCCTTGAAGAAATGTCAAATGACATTTAGTTAAAGTGACTGTTCAAGGCATACTGCCATGTATCAAACAATAGTCTTTTTAAAAATAATGCATGCTTCGGCTGCTTATTGTAAAAAAAAAAAAAAAAAAAAAGCAGGTGCACACAGATGGAAATTCTCTTTCCAAACACAGCAGAGTGCAAATATTAAAAAGAATGTGTTTAATCTAAAGAATAGAATATGCAGTTGGCCATTTCTTTTCACCAGGGCTGCTTGTGATTCAGCACACACCATAAAAATATGCACTATATAAATTATTTTAGTTAGTGCATAGTAGTGTTTCCAAATTAAAAAAAAGAGTGTATCTTATGCAGTTCTGAAGCATCAGGTTTGTTCATCTTGACCTAAACTAATTTAAATAATTCATTACAATTTTAGTCATAGTACAAAGTAAGTATTTTTGTAACGCCAAATCCTCACTTGCAATTAGACAAGGCAGCCCAATGAACCTTCATGCTTAAGATAATGGATATCCAATGCCCAAATGTTGGATTCAGAGGGAGTCTCTGTCTCCTTAGGGGTCTATAATCTTTATGCTTTGCAACTGAAGTTCCCTGAGGCATCAGCTTGTCTGTTTTTGGAATAAAAATGGAGGATCAATTAGACATAGTTTGCTCTAATAAAATAATTTTTATGATTCATATTAGTATCAGTATCTATATCTATTTCCTTTGCTAGGAACCTAGACAAAGAAATTGAATTATCAAAGGCAAAAGCAGCACTTGAATATTCCTCAATCAGTATAAGGATGTGCTGCTTTACAGCAAGCAACTTGCTTCATGCCAAGTCAGACCACTGATCCATCTAATCCAATACTGATTGGCAGTGGCTAGATTTTTTTCCAACCTTAGCTAGAGATGCTGGAATTGAACTTGGAATCTTCTGCATGCAAACCATGTTCTCTTCCACTGAGCAGGGTTCCCCCCACCCGCTGCTTTTTAGTGGTTTTGGCTAAGAAAACAACCTATAAATGTCCTCCAGCTATTGTCCAACAACCTCTAGCTTTCTCACATCTTTTTATTTCTCCTCTTCTCAGTTATTCATTATTACTATCATGGGCATAGCTGATCAGAAGATTGTAAGTTCAAATGGTCAAAACAATTTCCCATAAATGATGCTGTGCCTGGATCCTGGGAGTCCAAGAAGAAAAATGATGGAAGTCCATTATAAAACAAAAAAGGATTAGAAATTACCTGTTCTGCTTCCGTACATTTCTCTACCTCCTTTGTTCTAGGAACAAGACTCATTTTCCCTCTCCTTTTTGATCCAGTCCTACCACACAGTAGTGACAGAGAGCAGAGGCTGGGTTGGATAGCTATTACAGGCAGAAGTTCTCTCCAATAGCTTGATATATGCTTTCATACACAACTATTTGCACACAACAAGAGTTTATCAAGGGGTTAATGCCAATGTGGGTCAAAGCTCCAACATAATCAAATGATGGTTAAGGACAAAGTAAGAATCTATAAACCTGCATTTGTGAGTATCTGGCTCAGCATAGCAGGCCAACCAACATTTTTCCTTTGGCACCAGAATCAGGATAATGCATCAGGACAAATTTTAATATGCTGTTTTCTGAAACAATAGATAGTTTCTCTTTCATCACCCTTTGCTATACATAAAATCTATCTATGTATTTAATCAAATACAAATGGTCTTAATGCATTTTAGAATAGACTAGCACAAAACACTGTTAAGATTAGGACACCAAGTTCTACACTAGAAGAGTTGAATGAAGTGTTCCTAAATGAAAAGAATATGGCTCATTGTATTCAGTACACATCCAGTACTGTTATTTTTAAAAAAAAATTATAAGAGGAAAAGGACAGAAATCTTAGGCTATGAATTTTTCTCTAATGTTTGTTTTTATTTTTGTTCTAAGAACTGTTTTATTGGATCACACTAAATTAATAAAATGCTTCATCTAAAAGGCCTTAATCTGACACATGTGGTAGAAATGTTTGATGCTTTCTGGCAGGCCACATATAAATACTCAAGTTTGTCTTTGCCGTATTTTGCATTTCTCAAAGAGCTACATCTTAAAAAAGCTTGCAAAGAAATAGTAAGGAGGCCTTAGAAACAAGAATTTCCCTCATGCCTGCTACTTAATTACAGATTATAGACTCAAGACTTGGTTGGTCTAGGATCCATTTTTCAAGTATTTCTGCTATTTCTCATAGCACTATAGCACCTTATTGCACATTGTTTGAGAAAAGTATCGTTCTTATGGGAATCGGAATTGTCGCCGGCATCTCACTGACCTAAACCCTGGCAAAATCACTTTCCCCTTCCGATACAAATCCTCCTTGATGCCTTTGTTCATCCTCTGCACCAGCAGTTTCTCATAAAGCAGTGGGTGATAAGCCCCCAAGGTACAAGCTGCATCATGGTAGAGTTCGTGATAGTGGCAAAGATCAGTTTGTCGGATGGAAGGAATGTATTCGTACACATGCACTTCACTGCACATGGACATCATGATGAAAATCCCTAAAAATAAAGTGCATACGTAATTGCAGTTTCACCACAGGCCATAGTATACAATTACAATGTCAACTTCCCTCTCCCTTTTAATAGCTGCATATACACATGTCAAGTCAAACATTGCTAAATGTAATTGGCTTTCACAAACTTGAGGGAAAAACATTTTATATACAGTTCAACTACCAGGACAAAAGCACGCTCCAACCCAGTGCCCTTCATTATGTTAGAACAGCAACTAGAGTCACCAACACATGGATGATGCTAAATTTGGGAGCATGAAGTACAGCATAAACAGGAAAATAACATTATTGTGTATCAAAGAGGAAGAGCAGCAATATAGCACTATATTCTGTGCTACAATTTAAGTATAATCCTTTGGTTGGTTAAAGCAAATGTAGCAACTCTCTGCGTTAATTTTTTACTTACAGGACGTTCTGTTTTCTCATTTGACTTTAAGGATAAACTCAATCCAGTGAAATGTTGAACTTTTGAAAATGACATAATGCTCCCCATTGTATGCACACTCTATATACATGCATTTCCTTCAAACGCCTATAAAATCTCCTTGAATGGGTAAACAATTCTGCTTTGAACTTAAACTTTGATAAAAACAAAGATACGTAAAGATAAAGCTTAACCTTTCTGTCTATAATCTAGTTGGACATGGAAAACACTGTTTGAATTGCCTTTTCTTTAAGAATACATTTGCTGAAAGTGAATGCAACTTGTTAACAGCTGCTCTCTTTGTAGCAATTCAGCTGGTGAGCATATCCATATCTGACAGCTGGTATAAGAACATAAGAAGTGTCCTGTTTGATTGGACCTCTGGCCCATCTAGTCCAATAGTCTGCTCTCACAGTAGCCAACCAACTGTACAGGGAAGCCTATATCATTCATTCAGAATGCAGGCAATAGTGACTCCTGAACTGACTATTTTCCTCTGGAAAAAATTCTTTGAAATTTTATGCTAGTATGCCTCTCAGACCTTCGGCTTTCTTACCCAGACATTAGTCTTGATAATGATTTTGAGACAAAACCTGGGATTGCAGGCTCCATGCTTAGAGGAGCCAATTCTTCTTGCTCCTTGGGATGAACTCTAAATGAATGGATTTATTGACTTCCAAGGCTTCTTTGGTTCTTCCTTATCTTCCAGGGTAGATGGCTAAGCAGGACTTATTGCAAAAGTTGGATAGAGGATCTTTGAGGGCTATCTGGGTCTTGCCTTAATCAGCCTATCTACCTTAAGATGACAATGTTTCAGGGTTAGATTTTGTTGCCAAGGCTACAGATTGGCTAAGATTGGGGAATTCAAGGAGCATCATGATAGTCTGAAAAACTCTGTAAGCTGCAGAAAGGCAATCCTTTTGTTTAAGGGGTCTTCTACACTGCAGGCTTAAACTGCTTGAGTCCCATATGTAAATGGGACTTTCAGCTGGAAATGGGACTTTCAGCTGGAAATGAAACTGCTTTAAGAAATCCTTTTCTGGATTTCAATTCCTTCCTCAGTTGAAGGGAAAGCAATTAGAGCTACAAAGTGATTTCCTACTTTTTACTGCATACAATATCATCGGAGCTGTAAGACAGAGTTATGGGGGGAGCGTATGTTCATGTATCTGCTTAGCTAAATGCTACTTAAATTATTAGCCGTGCACAGCTGAAAGAGAAACCAGGACTCTCCTAGCTACTGTATGTTAAGACTAAAGAGAGGAAAAAATTGACAAGGAGGTCTTGTGTGCTGGAGGTTCTCTGGTCAATCCCAGAACCATGCAATGGATATTTAAAGCAAAAATGGAACTCTGTGGTCCTCCAGATGTTCTAAACTGTAACTCCCAGCAGCCCCAGACTGGGGAAGACTAGGAATTGTAGTTTAGCAGTATTTGGAATGACAAAAATTCCCAGCCCCTACGCTAAAGGATAGTACGTGAACCAGGAGGGAATTTCATTAATGTTGGGGGCATAATTGTTCAGCAATCCTTGCTCCTTTCTTTTTAAACAGGGAATTAACTCTTAGTACATTTCACTCAGGCCAAACACACAGTAAGTACTAAAGATCACATATTTATAATTATAATTTGTCAATTATATGGGCCCCAAGTTAGAAACCCATAACAATAGCTGAAAACTTCATTGCAATCACTGTAGTAGCAGTTCTGGTCAGTAGGGCTGAACAGTACTTTAGGATCAAAGGGAGAAATTGATTTGGAACATGCATGGGCACAGACAAAGCACCTATCAGAATGCTTTAAACCAAGCACAGTTGCCTTAAGGTGTTTCTGACAGGGGCTGGATTTACATCCCTGCTTGTTTCAAATCACATTTCTTTAAATCTAAAACACTACACAGCTCTCTGGGTCAGGACTGGTTTAAGGACACAACCACTTCCTTTCTGGTTGACACCTACAGCCTGTGTAGTCCAACATTCTGTTCGTACCAGTGGTAACATCCAAAAGCAGGACATGAAAGGAATAGCTGCCCTCCCGCTTGTTGGCACCGAGAGGAACGTTGTATCCTGAAGGTACATATAGTTATCATAGCTAAGAAAAATGAAGAGTCTTAACTTCCACGTTTCTTTGCAGATTTGCAAGCAAAAACTATATGCCTCTCAATCCCCCAAAAGGCTCCAAGTGGTGTTGCCAGACAGCCATTTAGCTATGCGGTGTACTGCATCACATCTCCATTTGCTCACTTTTATCCCAAATCTCTGTGATGAACAGAGAAAATTATAAATGTACACCATAACATGGGAAAGTGCACCAAAATGTGTAGTGTAGTGAAGTGGAAGGAAACCTGACCTAAAGCTATTGGCAGCAGACCTGGCATGATATAATAGGCTATTGGATTGAGACTGGAGAAATTCAGGTTCATGTCTTTACTCATCCAGAATTTACTAGGTCACCTTGAGTCACTCACTATCAAAGTTTTCTTAAGAGGATAAAGATGACTGAGACCCTGTGTATATCACTTTAAACTCCTTAGAGGAAAGACAGCATATCACTGTAATAATAAACAAACAAATAAATACAGGTAGTCCTCATTTAGCGACCACAATTAGGACTGGCAACTTGGTCATTAAATGAAGCAGTTGCTAAGTGAAACCACAACTGTGCTTATTATCTTACTTCAGCTTTCATTTGCTTTACACACCTGCAAAGGTTGTAAATGCGAGAATTGGTTGCAAAGTTACTTTTTCATCAGTTATAACTGCGAATGGTCGCTGCATGAGGCAGTTGCTAAATGAGGACTACCTGTACCTAGCTGCATGTTTTAATAGACTTAATTGCCATTTTTAATTTTTAATGGTTAGTTGCAGTAGGTGATGGAATTATCTAGAATAAGTCCTTGACCTGTCAAAGAGGTAGTAGATACTTGCAACAGAACTGAGAATGTTATAAGGCAGACAATGTTATAAGGTGTCCCTGGAAGGCAGACAATATCATCATTATTATTCTTTTACACAAATTCATTTATGCTCAGATGAGCTTAATTTTAGTATCTCTTCTGTTTATATTTTGAAAATAAATAAATAAATAAATAAATAAATAAATAAATAGCTAGCACTACTTGGCAGAATCCTACTACTATCTTCCTTATATTTGTTCTTTCCCTTGACACTGCCCAATTTATTAACTTATTTTGCAATACGGCCAAAATATGACCAGAGTGGGTTAGTGGGGTGGGAATACTACTTATTATGCCAAAGACAAATCAGACAAATGTACACCAACGTGATTTACAATTTTGCATACTGTAATGGGCTGTAAGAGTAACCTTGAGGAACAGGAGGAAGAGCTGCAACCAAGGCAATAGTCAAATAAAAGAAATCTGAGTCCAGGGCAGAAATGTAATTTGAGAAAGCATCTCAGACATGATGCTCCCTTGTTCTCATGAAGATAAAGGGAGGGAGTGGGGAAGTGCATTCAAACTTGCAAGATTCTGTTACTGTAACTTTATAAGTAGTATTAGCATTCATAACTTTGGTTTCCTAGATTGATCTACCTCAAAGGGTTGACACATAGTAAAAGAAACTGAAATTCATTAGTGAATGATTTGTAGGAGGGATAAAGACATGACTGAAGAAGAAGTAAAAACTAGTATAATTGGAACATCTCTGAACAAAATAAAATATTGCAGTATAACATACATGTTGTGAAAAGTTGGAAGGAAAAGTAGGGATGGGAAAACTTGATAAATAAAGGACTAAGAAAGAATATAGGATGATGAATTGAACTGAAAATAATGACATGTTATTTTTCAAGATCCTCCCCTCCCTGCAAGTCTTGCTGTGGTGCCTTATCATGGAAAAAGGGTTTTTTTGGGGAGCGATGAGCAAAGAACACCAGGAGTACATGCCAGGAGTATATATTCTCAGCAGGATCACTCAAGGCATGAAAATCATCTCAGCTGCCCAGCTAAAGCAAGCAGAGTGGCAGCAATATAGGAATATGCTGGAGGTAGATGAACATTTTAGTAACAACAGCAAAGGCATCATTTCATCCTACAAAGGAGGAAAGAAATGATAAGCCACTTTTGTGTTTTACCAAGAAATCCACATGGATAGACAAGATAAAGTGATTGACGATACAGCATTGGATGATGGGTCCATCAGGTCGGATGGCTACTGGAAAAGAGCTGATGAAATACACAGAAAAAGGAGGAAAGAAATGATAAGCCACTTTTGTGTTTTACCAAGAAATCCACATGGATAGACAAGATAAAGTGATTGACGATACAGCATTGGATGATGGGTCCATCAGGTCGGATGGCTACTGGAAAAGAGCTGATGAAATACACAGAAATCAAACTGACTATATTATTAGTACAAGGAGGTGTAAGAGCTCAGTTCCAACAGCAAAGATGTGCTGGGGGCTGACTGTGGAATCATGAACTGCTTATGTCCAAGTTCCTAGTCAAGCTAAAGCATAAGAATAAACTATCCAGTTTCCACGATATGATCTTGAGCATATACCCACATTTTCAAGAACATCAAGAATCACTCTGAAGTTCTGAACCTCATTGTCAGGGAACCAGAGGAACTGTGGAATAAATCAAAGAAGTTGTTAAGCATGATGTAAAAAGGGATTGTCAAAGGCTAAGAAACAAAAGAGAGTAAACTGGATGTCAGAACAAACAGTGAAAAGTGCCAAAGAGAGAAAAGTCAATGCCAAGAAAGACAAAGATCTCAGAAAAGGACTACAGAAGGCTGTTAGAAAAAAGAAGTATTTGTAACCACCTGACACTCACAGCTCCCAATTACAGTAACTCTCCTTGCAACCAGTCATGGTTCAAAAGAAAAGGTCATTTACTGAGAATAAGCATACAGTTCCAAAGCATTACTAAGACTGAGCCTGCGCTTGCCAAAAGTTGCTTTTTATCTTTTTTCCTTCTTCTCCCCTTCACCCCCCTAACGCCCCATTCTTCTCACATTCTCCCGTTGGTACGACCTTGAGCATTCCATGGTCTCTGATAAGAGCCCATCTGCCTCTAACGGCCAGTTCATCCATCCATCCATCTTCCCATAACCTTCCAGCCCCCCCCCCAATGTCTTTTAATGGCAGAACTGAAGCAAGCAAAAAAGCCAGCAATTAGCATGATTAAATATTTGCGAGGATTCTGACAGTATTTCAGTGAAATCTATAAAAACACTGAAGATGGGAACTAACATGGAAAAATAAGGAAAATTTCTCAAAATATTTCTGAACTCAGAAGGAGTTTCCAATCTCAAATTGGTATGCTAAAAGACTCAACTGACTCAAAGCAGATCAACCAAAGATAGGCATACACTGAAATTCTGTACAATAGAGATGTCAACATCCAAGATACCTTAGAAGATATTCCCTACTTGTAAGAATTTCTAGTACAGTGGTACCTCGGGTTACGAACGCCTCTGTTAACGAACTTTCGGGTTACGACCAGCTTTGGCCGCAAAAAATTACCTTGGTTTGCGAACTCCACCTCGGGTTACGAACGCCTCTGTTAACGAACTTTCGGGTTACGACCAGCTTTGGCCGCACAAAATTACCTTGGTTTGCGAACTCCACCTCGGGTTACGA